TACACAACGTAGGCGGTGCGGAACTCGTTGTTGCGGTGCACCAGCCAGCTGCCACCAGTCACGGTCAGCGTTTCTGCAATGAGCATGGCGAAGCCGAGACGGAAATTACTGGACACAACCTGCAGCACGCTGCCGCCATCCAAAACAACATCCCCAAACACACACGCGCCTTCGTATTCGGTGCTCGGCGCAATCCAAGAGCTGTTCTGTATGGAGAACACGGAGTCGCCGCTGACACGCAGGTCCGACGCAAAAGCATACATCACGTGCGTCCGCGACATGACAGCGCAGTTGTCCATGTAGAAGACGCTGGACAGGTGCACGCCGAGGCCGCGCTCCAAGAGGATCGCAGCGCACGAGCCCCCGCCACACACCAGCGTCGACCGCGTCATGACAAACCGCGTCGACAGAAGACGGACGCCGTCCAGAACAAGCGCGGGGCCGTACCGGGATTTCTCGTGGCCAGGGGTCGTCGGCACGTAATGCGACCCGCCAACCGTCGCGCGCAGCGTCGAGTTCGCCAGCAGCACACTCGAGTGCAGCGGCATCGCGCCATGCAGCACGATCGTGCCCTCCAGCGACGTCACGTTCGTCATGTTGACGAGGGCGTGGGGCACCAGGCGCGCCGTGCTCTCGCTGAGGCCACCAATCCGCAGCTGCGCGCCGCCCGCAAGCACGCAGTGGCGCAGCGTCACGTTCACCGCGTCAGCGAACGCGTCCATCGAGCGCAGGTCCACCGCCACAATGATCGGCCCGCCGAACACCACCGAGTCGAAGCACGCCGTCGCACGCCCGCCGCCAACCGTCACCGACTCCGTCAGCGTCACGCCACTCACGCAGTCCTGCGCACCGCCACCACCGCCACTGGCCCTCGCAGGCGGCACGTCGAACGGCAGGCATGCCTCGCCCACGCCGCCGGCACGGCAGCCGCACACGCATTCGGAGAAGGACGCCGTCAGTCCATCGAAGCACGCCAGCGCAGCCGCACAGCCGTCGCACGGCACCACGCTCACGGAGGGCAGGCCGGCCATGCGGTAGTCGCCGCTGCTCTGCAGCACCCGACCACCGGCACGGTTGCACTGCACCGACACGACGCCGCTCGTGATCGTCGGCCCGGAGACAATCGTAGCGCCGGTGGCAGCGCAGCGTGCAATCGAAACGGCACCGCCGCTGAGCGTCACCCCCGACAGCAACGCCACAGTCGACGCCTCGCCCACCGCCCACACGTCGTGCAGGTCCAGCCACCCGCCGGCATCCACCGTCCCACCGTCGCAGTGCACCAGCGACGACGCAACAGACCCCTCGACGCCCACGAAGCGCAGCACCGAATCAATCACCGCAAGGCGCTCGCCAAGCACAAAGCCGCCGCCGCTGCTCACGACCGAGACGTTCGTCACAGAGAATACCGAGTGGCTCCGCAGACTGAGACGCGACGAGGTCGCCACATGCATCGCAGACGCGGTCGGACCGCCCGAGGCCTCCAGCAACACGCCGTCAAGCACCACCGCGCTCGACAGCAGGTCCACGTCGCCGCCAACGTACACCGCAGACCCGCCCACCTGCAACGACCTCAGCACGGTGTTGCTCACACGCAGCTGCGTCTGCAACAGAGACGTCGCGTGCAGCACAAGCGGCGACGCCACCGCGTCTGTCAGCCCGCTCAGCTGGGAGTAGTGCATCGGCCCCGCCGTCACAATCGTCGAGTCACGGACCGTCACGTTCGTGTGTGCCGGCAGGTTGTGCACAAACACGAGCGAGCAATAGCTCCCGGACAGCCCGCTCACGCTCACCTCCAGGCTCCGGTCACTCGCCGGCTCGTCGCTGTAGCCCCGCACGTAGATCTGCGCACCGCCGTCGCACACGCAGTTCCTCAAGTCGATGCGCAGTGTGCCGGGAAGCATCGCCGCAACGTCGAACACAACAGCCACGCCGTTCGTGATGTACACGCCGTCCATCAGCACCGTGTCCACGGCGTGGCCAACCGTGATGGCTCTGTCCACCGTGCCGCCCCGCAGTCGCAACGCCACCGCTTGCACCGCGGGCATCCACGCCGCCGCCGCAACCAGCGCCAACAAAACGAGCAGCGCCACACACACAGCCGCAGTGGCCCTGCGCCGCACACGGTGACGGCTGTGCGGACACGCACCCACCGCAGACCGCATCCACCGATCCAATCAGGTATCAACAGGGCTCTCGTGGTGTGTCGCACTCGCCCCGTCGACCGTAACTCCTGCCTAGCAAATCCTTTTCTACAGATGGAAAATCCAGAAACACAATTCCGCCAGATCGTTATTCAAATAATACTAATACTACTAATACTGCAAGTAATTCCTAATACCTTGAAACGATAGTTGTGCTGTTCAAACCAAAGTAACCCTAATTGCACAGTCAGAAAAGGAAAAGGCAGCAACAACAGCAAATAAACACAGGGGCACGCAGAGGCATCCGGTCACAGACAGTCCCCATCACAGCAAAACCACCAACACAAAGGCGCGGAGATGCAATCACTTCAGTGAAACCATCGCTCTCCCCTCATCGGCCAGCACCGCTCAAAATCGCGCCGCGGATTGGCTGTGAAGTAACAGCAATTGTGCAGTATACACGGAACAGCATCAAAATTTCATTCTACAGCTGCCCAAACTTATGTACTCCGCATCGGCTGCCAAAAAAAAAAAAAAAAAAAACCACGGAAGGATATTGCTCCACTCATCCTCCTCCTGACAAAGGCAAACCCTTCATATCCTCTCCCTCTCCACGGCATGAGAGCCGCAAAAGGCCGTCAAGAAAAAACACGTGTGTGGATGGCCCGGATTTGCGGGCGGGTCGGCAGCCACCCACGCTCGCTCCCTCACACATCTCTTCTCCCCCCACTCACACACACAAGGGCGGTGTCATGGGGAAGAGAAGTCCGCCGCTCAGCGCATGCAAGAAGAAACACGCAGAAGCCACGCCTCCCACGTCGCACCGCAACAAAAAGCAATGCGCGCAGCACACACACAACCGCGACAAGAGGGAATAAGCGAATCCAAGTACATACCGCAGCCCTTTACTTCTCCCCGACGGATTAGTGTTCCACACTCACAGTGAGGCACGGCGCACACCATCCGCTCCTCTCCGAGTGCACTCAGCAGGCCGGCGCCCAGTCACCCCCGTGCCATCGCAGAGGGGAGCACAAACCATCGTCGTCGCGGACCATCGATGCCTCTAGCGGAGAAGAAAGAAAAGAAATGGAGACATGCCAGCAGCACAGCCAGCGGTAAGAAACATAAAACGGAAGCACTCAGTGAAAGTAGACACGGCAAAAACGGAAAGAAGCCGCAGGGATTTAAGAAATCAAAACGAAAAAAAGGGTGAGAATACGTCATGACTCCTGGGAAACACAACCAAAAGAAAAATTGATTCGGCAGGACTTTCATGTGCCATGCAACACAGGACGATCGGGGGCGTATGCATATTCCCTGCACAAACGAAAAACAAAAAAAAAAAGGTTATACTCTCCCACCAGCCCACACAACATCCCTTATATTCCATGCGGCATCCGGCCTGCTCCTCCACTCCTCGTTTTGTGCGGTCCGCCGGACGCGCAGCAGTGACGCCGGCACCGCGAGTGGCCAAAAAAAGGGAAACAAAAGTCGGAAACATGTCGCTCATAACGGTGTCTAGCAACTGACCATAAAAAAAAATAAAAAAAAATAAAAAAAAATAAAAAAAAAAAAAAAAAACGTCCTCTATTACTGTTCCACACACACAAAAAAAGCAGCTAATTACCGTGCGACCCCTGCAAACTCTCTGTACATTTCGCCCAAAAAAATTTTTTAATAAGATACATTTGTTTCAACCGTCTGACCCTCCATGTGTGTCCGCACATCGTTTATATTTCATGAGGTCATTTGCGTGTTGGTGCTCCCATCAGCCCTTTCATCGGCGCGTGAGTGCGGCCTGCAGAGCACAGTCACTCGTGTGTGAGGACTGAGAGAAGCACGCAGACATGACGGGAGTCGCGTCTCTCCATGCAAAGAGTGAGCGCAGCAAAAAAAAAAAAACACATCAGAGGAAAAGAAATGCCCACGAGGCCGACACCGAAGGGACTGCCGGCGCGAAAAGTAAAAAAAAAACACACACAGTGAGAAAGTCAAAGAGAGCAAGCAAAATTACTTTTTAAAAGCGGCAGGGTGTGGCTGTGTGTGTGTGGCGCTGCGGGTGTCTGCCCGCCCTGGCCGCATAAAAACGGCACAAGAGGGAATAATCTTCCGGGCAGCTGGCCGGATCCTGAAATAATCTATGGAAACCAAACAAGTTAGGAAAAAAGGTTCGTTAGTTAATTGCTTCAATGTTTTCTTTTCATTCAATATATAGAATTCTGTGGACCACTAGCATGGTGCTTTGTCCTTACTTAGAATTTAAATATAATTACTTACGAAGTGGCAGACTTTGAGGTCCTCCAACCACAAGACCCCGCCGCGACGGTGGGAATCAAAAGGGGGTGGGTGGGTAGGATGGCAAAATAAAAACAAATATTACCTGGCCTCTATCGGTTCCATGCCCCTATAAACACGCAAAGCAAAAAATCTTAAAAACACGGCGACAGGGTGTGGCTGTGTGTGTGTGGCGCTGCGGGTGTCTGCCCGCCCTGGCCGCAAAGAAAAAAAAACAAGAGGGAAAGAAATGTGTGCTCCGCCCCACCGGCCCTCGTCGCACGCCCACACGTCACGGCTCCCTCAGCGCGCCGTTCGTCGCGGCCCCTCCTCATGCGTGCAGCAGGCGAGGCGCACAGGGCCGTCGTCATGAGCGTGTCGGTGGGTGTGCGAGTGGAGCAGTTGGGCGGGAAACACACGGCACCCCTCACAGGAAGAGTGAAGCAGAAACAATTGACAAAAGTGAAAAAAGAAAAAAAGCCCATGGTGGTTGCCCCAAGGCAACAGAGAGGGGAAAAGAGGGCAATAAAAGAAAAGAAATTGCACTCTGCGTAGTAAAATTTATTCCTAGCGGTGTGTGTGTGTCGCTGTAGTTGAGCGAGCAAGTGTTCCACACAGAGGATGCACACTCCTCAGAGTCCAAGCAGAAGAAGCAGCGCCAGCTGTCCGCTCCCAGCAGATGTCAAGCCCACCACAGCCGCATGTTCTCTGGCGGCAGCTCCCCCCAGAGCTGCCCACCCCGCCAGTGCTTCGCCTGAGCCATTCGAAGTGTGGACCTTTTCCTTGAGTGCATTTATCTCAGTGGAATTCAGTGGGCGGTTGTACAGAAAGACGTTCGTCACCGTCACAGGAGAGTTGTGCGCACCGCACGCGCCAAAGCAAAATTATACGAAGTCAAGTGGAACATCTCTTGTTAATAGCAGTTCGCCTTCCCCCAACAACAAACCATCAATGTACACAGAGGCGTTTTTGCCTTGAATCATGAGTGCCACTTGGTATTCTTTCTTCGGCTCCCAAGTGCTGCTGTTTGTTGATAACTTGACTTCGAACATCGTCTACCACTTGTTATCCGCGGTGTACGACAGTCCCATAATATAAGGGTACCGAGCGTCCTCCATGAACGCAGTCAGTAAAGGGGTGCTATTACTCGGAACCTGGTGGATGCTCACCGTCGCCACAAGTGTGAAGCGGTGGCTCAAGGATACATGCCGCACGTTATTATTCCAATCGTTCACGGGCCATAGTACCCCGGAGGTAGTCTCTGTCAACCGCCACCCATCTTTGACCTTCCTTGCGTTCGTCACCGTTGTATTCACGCAAAGGTACTCGTCAATCCATCTCCCATCACTGGCCGCATCGGAAAAAAATGCCACCAGACCCGCCGTGGGTATAGTCAAGTTGGAGAAGAAAATGTCCTTTTGCGCCCAAGTACTGAGGACGGAATTGATTGTACTCAGCTCCTCCGTTAGGCGGGAAAGTGAAATCACACTGCCTTCACGCTTGAACCTCTCTTGTAAAAGATGCAAATTACCATCCGAGTACAGCAGGCTGCTGGCGAACAACCAATTCATACCATCCCTCATGGCAACCGGTCCAAGATGAAACGTGCGGTTGTTTTCCGTGACCCAAAGATAGAGCGCCTTGTCCTTTTGCCCCTCCGTGAGGTACCTTTTCTGAGTGTGCAGCATGACCTTCCCTCCCTCAATGGTCGCGGTGATGAGGGCTCCCGCACGCAAACTTTTGTCCCAAAAGAACGCTGATTCTAAATTAACCCACACGCCTGGGAGTTTCCCGATGGCCTCCGTCCACGCTGTCCCCATGTCACGCGACTCGTACACCCTCTGGCCATTCTCGCAGTCAACAATCATGAGAAGTGATCCCTTCCATTCGGTGATGCGGGGTGTCTCGCATTTCGGATAAGAAGTGCCCTCTGGGAACACCCAGTTATTGCCGTTGTCCGTCGAATAAATAATCGTGGAGTAATCGTCTTCTGCTTCTTCCTTCGCCATCAGAGAAAACACGAGCGTGCCATCTTCCATCAGAACACCTGAGCCACCAGAAGGATAAAACTTCGCCAATTTATTTTTGGAAGCAGCTGAAGTAATTAGGCTTAACAGCGGTTTGGGTTCGCCCCATTCGATCCACCCACTCGGCTCGTCGCCAGTAGAATTTGTGACAGTACCCACAACCAGTTTCAGATGCACGTCAGAAGGTCGCCACCCCTCATTTCCCTTAGACAGATCAGAGACCTCCGCAAGAAGAAACACCTTATTTCCCTTCGTTGTTGTTGTGGGGTGGTACACAACACCCAAACTCTCCTTTCCCTCCGCTCCACCAAGCACAGTGTGTGCAGTCCATTTTCCTTTATCGACCTTTTCAACAAGAGTGGAACATTCCCACGCTGGGTCGATGTACCCCGCAACAACATCAGAAGAAAAGAGCTTACCTAAATCATTAAATTCATGTTGGATATATATGTCGCCTTTGAAGAAAACAGCCATTACTCAACCAGCACTGACAAGAGAGGGTGAAACAAATAAATCCCTCGTCATTTCTGGAGAAGTCCCACCTTTCGGCAGCACCGGCGTCTTATCTGGCACAAAAACATCGACCGACAGCGGCAGTTGCACATCCCCTGACGCTGCCTAATCAGCGGTCGCAGCTCCACTGCCGCAGCACATCATCACGACAAGAAAAAGCAGCAGCACCGCGAAAGTAAACGCATGCCGGGACATGCTGGGCCTCTG